ATGCCAGGCGAGCGCGCTACCGCTTGAGCCACATCCCCAGCCCCAGTACAGTATATTTTGACATATTTCTGCAAACATGGAATACATATTATTCTAATTAGCACCCCAGTCTTTTGGTTCTCCATGGTGTGGAGAGTCACTGTGGTGTATTTATATGTGTACAAAAGAAGTCAGATTTATTCCACTGTCTTTTCTATTACTGTCTCCTCTCCCTTCCCTTCATTCCTTTTTGTCTAATCTACTGAACTTCTATTCTTCCCCTCTCCCCTGTGTTGTGTATTAGAATCCACATATCAGAGAAAACAGTTGACTTTTGTGTTTTGGGGATTGGCCTATTTCACTTAGCATAATAGCCTCTAGCTTATTTCACTTAGCATATAGCCTCTAGTTTCATCTGTTTACTGACAAATGTCATAATAAAGCCATTATTTTTAAGGCCCGAGTAATATTCCATTATGTCTACATACCACATTTTCTTTATCTGTTCACCTGTTGAAAGGCACCTACATTGGTTCCATGGTTCCATAGCTTACCTGTTGTGAATTGTGCTGCTGTAAACATTGGTGTGGCTGTGTCACTGTAGTATGCTGATTTTAATTCCTTTGGGTATATATGGAGGAGTGAGATAACTGGATTAAGAGATAACTTGGTGGTTCCATTCCAAGTTTTCTGAGGAATCTCCATACTGCTTTCCAGAGTGGTTGCATCAATTTGCAGTCCTTTATCATTCTTTAAGAGTAGAAGTTTTACATTTTGGTAAAACCTAATTTTATCAATTTTCCTTTTATGGTTAGTGTCATGCCACCAGATTTTTGCTGGGCCAGGTTGTGTTGGCTCTTTATTTCTTTAGCTGTTTTTGTATTCCTTACATATTCTTGCTGTATTCTTATCAGGAAGGTTGGCAGGAAGTATTTACTTCACCATTATCAGAGCAGAAATCATACAAATAGATCAAATTATGTTCTGTAAAACATTTTTTTCTGAAACCAAATTTAGGATTAAGGCTGCAATAGTTTCTTTACATTCACTTAACTATACTTGTCTTACTATCCATAAAATGTTTTAATTTTACAGGTTTGTGTGAACGATGATCTGGTTGCAAAGAACTTTGCTTGCTATGTATCTCCCACAGAGAAGAAAAACCTTGATGCTTTAGAGAAACCAAGGTTGGATATAAAGTCAGCTTCTTTCTCCAGTAAACTCAATCCAGCCCTTACTCTTTGGCCAATGCTATTGCAAGGAAAAGATTTTCAAGGAATGAAAAGTGAGTGCATTCACATTTATATGTATTTCTTTTAAGTTGCTTTATTTATAGTCTTAGTGTGTTGCCATAAGTTGTAGTACAGATTTTTCCCTGTGTAGGCAGAGACTTGGACTCTATGTTTAATAATTGAAATTTAATGTTGGGACAAGCCTGTGACAGATTTTGTGGTCCTAAAGCTGCTATAATTTRTTTTCATGAAACCGGGAAGAAACCATTTTCAATTTCTTAATAAGTCACATTTTCAGAAGTCCAGATATTTGTAGTTTAAAGATTAAATTTGTAGTTAAAATAATGTTTTGAATATTCATTRTTTTAGACAGTTTTAAAAAGAATTATTAATTGTAAAATGGTCCTTAGCAGTAAAATATGAGAAGAGTTAGTGGTGAACTGTGGAAGTGCTTTTAAATGTTCCTCTCTGCTGTCAGATTTTAGTACCCTCAAATGTTGCTGCTTCCTTGTTAGGTGTCCTATGACCATACAGCAAAAGCAAGAGCAGTTGTGGTAGAACAAGGAATCTGCACTTTACTTTACATTTTATTTCATGCCTTAATTTTGAAATTTATTCTTTTAGAGTCACATGATTTAGATTTTCTGGCACAGTCTCTCCAGCATACCTGGTGCAAGGGTGTTGTCAGTGACCTACAGTCAACTGCTACAATACTGGGTGAGTCCGCCAGTTTGGTATATTTCATAGTCAACATAAAATAATATCCTTTTTTGGGGGGGACTGAGGATTAAACAACTCAAACCCAGCTTTGGGGCCTCCCAATGTTCTACCACTGAGCTATACCCCCAGTCTTTAACTAACTGAAGATTAAAAGGGTTGTTTAGAAGGACTCTGGTCTCTTTTTTTAATATAATTTAATGGAACCAATTTATGATATAGATGCTGACAGTGATTACTTGACCTGCAGTCCACACTTAGAAAGTTTACTGTAACATAAAGAACATCACAGACCCTTGTGAGCTGGGCTCTGTGGCTCAAACCTATAGTTTCAGCTACTTGGGAGGCTGAGGCAAGAGGATCACTTGAACCTAGGAGCTCAAAGCCAGCCTGAGAAACATAGCAAGACACTGTCTCAGAAAATAAAAAAAGAAACAGTAGGCATTTGTCCATCTGGAAGACTGATATTTTCTAACCCTGAAAAATACCAGTGATTATTATTTGTCCTCAGAGTATACCATACTTTTATGATTGACTTTTATTTTGAGCAGTAGGATGCAGAAAAATAAGGAAGTTGTACTTATGAGGGAGATATACTCAGTCTTTAATCCCATATCTCAGAAATGTTTAATGATTTGGAATTGTTCAACAGGGTGAAGTTTGTCAGCCTGTGATGCTGGTTCACCCCTGTGGTCGTTCCTTACCACTTCCCTCCTGCACTGGGTGTGTGTTTACCTGTGGATGTGACATTTCACATGCATCCATAGTATGTTAAAATGAACCAAAGCATTAATGAGCTAAGATGTTCCCTACATTTAATATTATTTTCACATGGGTGATATTGTTCATCATGGAAGAATACAGATAACCAAAATTGTAAAAACTTGCCACCTCACTACCTACTTATTAAAATTTTAAGAGTCTGTCTTTCCACAGTTCTCTAGATGTAAATGTATGGGTTAATTTTTATTTTACAGGAACAAGATCCTCCTGCATATACATATACCTCTTTGTAGTGTTTTTCCCTATGGCTCAACTTCTTTCCAGGTCAAATAATCCAGCATAGCATGATTAAGTAAATGGGATCTGCTGTGAAACCATCAAGAGTGTGTGCCCCATCTCTCTCTGGGGTGGGGGGAGGCCTCACTCCCATCCTGCCCGGAGTTGGTCAGGTGGGCTGTGCAGGTATGGAGTGCCCTTGGCACAGTGCCTGGTGTGGCAGCTCTCACATGTGTGGCCTCCTGTAGGGTCCTCAGATGAGAGTTACTGCTGAAAGCAGTCCTGTCACCATGGGAATATATCTTTCCATGGTGTTCCTTCTAATTCCCTTACAGCAGGAAAAGTACCAAGTGTTCGCATCCTTGTGTTTTGCCGTTGCACAGTTTCACCTAGTTTTTATTGCTCTCAGTAATCCCAGATTGTTGGACAGTAATTGTAGCCGCCTTTGGTAAATAAAAATGACCAGCTTGGGAAAATAAATTGTGTTTTAGTCTTATAAGCTGGTGTGGGAATTTTTAGAACTTTGAAAACAATAATAAAGGCTGAAACAAATTTTTAAAATTTAATCCCCGTAAATAAAGTTTAATATAAACCCCTATTCCATAATAATTTCATGTATTAAGATTTTTGCCATTTGTTTCCTATCAGCATTTTTCAAGGTAGCTTTGTATCGCTGTTTTTATTTTTCAGATAGAGCTGAAAAATATAATAGGGATTCTATGAGAGACTCACCTAAAAAGAAATCTGAAAAGAAGCAGCAGTGCATCTCTTTAAAAGATGTAAATAAGGTTGTATTTTAAAAATTCTCATTTAATGTAAACTTCATGTAATGTTAGTAATATCCTATAAGAAACCAAAATGTGTTTTCTTCTTAAAAAAATTGACTATGATAGTTTTATTCATGAAAAAAATACAGTTTGCATGTTTACTTATTTTGAAAAAACAAGGGAACTCCATCCACCTCCCTTCTTGTCAAACTCTTGTCCTTGATAATTAATGCCATTTCTAAAATTGGGTACTTCTTCTCATTTGAACAAGGGTATGAAAATTTGGGATTCTAACTTGCCTTCCAGTCCTTTGACCGAGACAGGTGAAAGTAATTGCAGGGCATTTTAAACAATAATTATCTGAAATGCCATTTGGACCTTTTATTTATTTTTTAAATTTTTTTATATTTATTTTTTAGTTGTAGTTGGACACAATACCATTATTGTATTTTTATGTGGTGCTGAGGATCGAACCCAGGGCCTCGCACATGCTAGGCAAGCACTCTACCGCTGAGCTGCAACCCCAGTTTTGAGCCTATTAATCTAGTGATTATAGTGATGGCATAATCATCAAACTTTATAGTTTTTTGTCTCTCTGTGTCTTRTGTGTGCAAGAAATTGACTGGAGTGGTGTTTAAATTTTTGTCCCCAAAGAATATATATCTTGTTAAGCATATGTATTTTTTCTGAAATTTGTTTTACAGTGTGTGGAATCTTCAGCATGCTGGCCAACGAAAAGAGGCATAACCATATATGCTGATCCAGATATCCCAACAGCAAGGTATGATTTGAAAATATATATAGTCTTATGTAGTCATCCCTTAATATTCTTGGGGGATTGATTCCAAGACCCCCAAGGATACCAAAATCTGACATGCCACAATTACTATATATGTTAGTATTTGCATGTAACTTATGCACATCCTCCTTTATGCTTGAAATCATCTATAAATTACTTATAATACCTAATGCAATGTAAATGCTATGTAAATAGTTGCTGTACTTATTGCTTAGGTAATAATGCCAGGGGGGGAAAAGCCTGTATATGTTCAGTACAGACTCAATTTGTTTTTTTCCCAAATATTTTCAATCTGTGGTTGGTTGAACACAGATGAAGAACCTATGGACACAGAGGCCAAATTGTACAGTGTTCTCATGACACGAAAGTATTCTTTCCAAAAAGCAAGGCCCAGAAAATTTTTTATTGAACATATTAATTTAAAGAAAAAAATCTTGCGACAATTGGTTAGTAGCACAGCGCTGAAAACTGACTCTAGAATCCCCTTGTTACCTTGTTGGACAGAGGTGGTTTTGTAAGGCAGGTCCAGAGAAGGTTGGCACAGAGTGGGTGTGATGTGAAGGAGGAGCAAATGTGGACCAGATGGCAGCAGTGCTTGGTTGGTTACAAGTTGATAGAAAGCAGAATGGTTTGCAGTCTTCTTTGACTACACCATCCTCATCAAGATGCACCAGTGACATTAATGACATCACAGAAATGATGTCATGTGCTTTTTATGTGCAGTATAAAAGCTTAAAATAGTATACTTCCATTTCCCCCCACTTAGACTTTATGCTATGATTTTCGTGTGTTTTATTAGTGTTATAAATGCTACAATGTTATCACTTCAAACGGTTTTCTTTTAGAGAGGTTTAAATAATAAGAAAAGTAACATATTTGCCTCTGTAGTTACGTTGGTGCTCTTCAGTTTTTGTGTTGATTCATGTTTCCATCTGATACCACTCTTTTTACTTGAAAGGGCTTTTATTAACATTTTTTTTTATTACAGGTCTGGTGGTGATGAACTCTTCAGGTTTTATGTCTGAAAAATTATTTGTGTGTGTGTGTGTGTGTGTGTGTGTGTATCTGTGCACACTGTAGATTAATAGCAGAGCACTCTGCAACTGAACTGAATTCCTAGCCCTTAGCTGCTGCTGCTGCTTTATTTTTTATTTATTTTTGGCTAGGTATAGAATGAATTCTAGGTTGACAGTATTTGACACTGTTTTTCTCTATGTATTTTGAAGGTAGTGTTGCACTGATGCAAAATCTGCTGTCATCTTTTTTTGTTGTTGTTCCTCTGTTTGCAGTGTTTTTCTGCTGTTAAGATTTTTCATTATTACTGGTTTGAACAATTTGATGGTTATATGCTTTGGTGTTCTTTTTCTCATGTTTCTTACGCTTGGGATTTATAATAGTTCTTTGTAATTTTCTATTTTTCATCAAATTTAGTCAATTTTGTGAACTATAACAAAGTACCACAAACTAAGTAATTTAAAAAGAATAGCCATTTGTTTTTCACAGTTCTGGAGGTTGGGAAATCCAAGATCAAGGCACTGGTACTTTTGTACTGTGGTAAGTGCCTGATCTCAGCTTCCAAGATGGCACTTTGAATGCCTGTCTTTCGGCAGGGAGAAATACTGTTCCTTGCGTGGCAGAAGAGCAAAAGAGAGAGAACTCACTCCCACCTGTACTTTTTGTAGTGGCATTATGGCATTAACCCATTGAGGGCAGAGCCCTTGTGGCCTACACATCTCCCTAGAGGTGTCACCTCCCAGTATAATTGCAATGGGCACTGAGTTTCAACATGAAATTTGGAAGAGACAAGAATATTCAAACTATAGCAGGAAATATTCACTTTTATTACAGTTTTTTTTTCTGCAACAGTTTTCTCTCTTTTCCTTTTGAGGCCCTGATTTAAAAAAAAAATTCAAAATTTTGATAATTGTTCCAAAGGCCTCTGAAGTGCTTCATTTTTCAACCTTTTTTTCTTGCCACTTTTCAAATTAGCAGTTCTACTAATCTTTCTCTTCTGTCATCTCCATTCTATTGTTGAACTCATTCTGTGAATGTTTTATTTGGTATATTTTTCATTTTTAAATTTTTTATGGTTAATTTTTCTTTGCTTTCTGTTTTTCCACTCAAGAATGCTAAACTTTTTTTATGCACCATATTATGATAGCTGTGTTAAACTCTTTGATAATTCCCACTTCTGAACCATCTTGGGGTTAGCACCTGTTGATTCTTTTTTTTCCTTTACAATTGATCTGATTTTCCTGGTTCTTCATGTGTTGAATAACTTTGGTTTGTATTATGGATATTTTGAATAACATGCTATGAGACTCTGATTCTGTTAAAACCCACTGGAGAAAGTGCATTCTTGTTGTTTGTGTTAAGCAGGCAGCAATGATTTGGTTAGGTTCATGACTCAGGCTTAGTCTCACTTGCCAAGGGTGGCTGCAGCGTCTATCAATTTCCAAGCCTTTGGTGTGCTGCTTTGGGGCTGTTCTGCAGGTGTTTAACCTAGGGTGACCTTGAGATTCCTGTTAGGTCACAGTCTACAATAGGTGATCCCCCTCTGTTTCTCTCCTGCTTACCAGATCCAGGTGCTCCTTTCCTGTCTCTGTGGCCAGACAGACAGTTCCTCTTGGAGAAACTGCTGTGCAGTCTGTGCTTGGGCCACTTTGGGAGCAAAATGGCAATAGAAATAATGGAGGAAAACAGTAGATTTCCTCACACATTGTTTGGACTATAGGGTCTAGTTTCCTAGTTTTTCTGGATGTAGGGACAGGTTTTCTTTTGMGGTTGTAGGGACTGTGCTGCTAGCTCCAAGGTGGAGCTGGCCTTGGGGCAAACATAGGAGAGAAACAGGGAAAAAAGAAAAACAATCCCAGTTTTCTCTGGAAAGGGAGCCTCTCTCAGATTTTTTTTTTCCCATGCTAGGGATTGAGCCCAGGGCCTGAAGCAGGCAGTCAGGTGCTCTACTACTGAGCCATGTCCCCAGCCCTTCTCTCAAATTTTTGATGTTTGTATTTGCTATACAGTTTCATGTCTCAGGCCACCCTGAGGTCTGAGGAAGGAAACAGAGGGAGGAAAAAGCCCATGAAACTCCTCATGATTCTGTTTACTTTCAGTTTTTTTTTCCATTGCTTTTTTCTATCCAGAATTTCTGATTATAATTAGTATGGGTCTAAGCCACAGGTATGAAAATCATAAGTTCTTACAGAAATTCACTTTGGTATATCAACTGATTCCTCACTGATAATTCTTAAATTTTTTTGTCATAAAATAAAGTCATTTCTAGGGTTGGAGTAATTGGGTTCACAAATTTCAGTAAACTTTTTGATGCCTTTTATTTCTAGTTCTTTAAGTCAGAAGCCAAATGAGAAACCACTTAGATTGGCTGAGAAGAAAGAATATGATGAGAAGAATGGCTGTGTGAAGTAAGATTTGGGGGCGTGTGTATACAAATTGTTTATTGAAAATAATTGTAAGAAAATTATAAGCAGGAAGAATTTACATATTTTATTTCTAATTTCAAACTTCATTCCTGTAAAAAAAATACATAACCAGTAAGTCTTCTGTAGGCTTTGAGGTTAGTTTTTTTCCCTTTCTATATAAACAGTTTTACATTCCAAATAACTGTAACCACTCTGGAGTATCAAATGTGACAGAGTTTATTTAAGACAGTTCAGAGGTGGGTGGATTTTGCTGTTTTTACTAGCTGCTCTGGGGTTGGAAGGAGGGCATAGATCAAGCAGCCCTGCAGCCACCCAGCTCCCCAGATGCCACTCTGATGCCCTGTCACAGCTTCTTACTCAGTCCAAGCTCCTCATAGTATCCCAGGGCCAAGGGCTTTGAAGGCTGTCATGGAACTTACAGCTGGGGATGGCTGTTAAGGCATCTGATTTGACAACCTTCTTCCCATTAATGCCTGAATGTTTTGCTGTTATAAGTGGTTCCTTCCTTTGGAACCAAAGCCTTTCATTATCCATTTATTTTAAATTACTAGCTGGTAAATTAACCTTGAAATATCTCATTCCCTTTTATTTATGTATTAAAAAGTTTTATTCTTCTCTCTTATTCTGCTAAGTGGCCCTTATTGGAATCCACTGATGAAAGTATACTAGTTATCCTGTCTGCTATGGTTCCAGGGAACCTTAAAGTGGCTCAAGGTTAAAGGGCAAGGAAGAAAGAAGACAGTGAGTTTCTTAGAAATCCAGAGACTGACCTAGTGATTATGTGATCCTTCCTAGGATCTGATCAAATAGTCCTGGGGTTGGCTATGCTGTGTCCAGAGCCTAGGGAACAGGCATTCAGAGTCTGGTGAACCCTGTGTCCATTATTTTTGGTCAAGTAATGAAGGCAGCCTAGAAAAGAGATCTTTTCCTTAAGGGTGATAAAGTAAGGATTTGCAGGCATCATGTAACTTAATAATAACATTAGTTAGGAAAGGGGACACAGTAACTTTAGCATGTTGCCATTCATCCTGACTTATCTGTAAAGGACCACCTTAAAGACCTTACAGAAATTCAGGAAGAGTTCACCTCAGATTTGGTTCTTCCCTGTTCCAGGATAGTATACCTTCTTCTCCTTTTGAATCCTGGTTTCTTGGGTAACAGGGAGAGTGTCAGGGTCCACATCCAGAGTACCAGGACCCACATAGCAGATTTTTTAGGTGTTTAAGAGAAACAACCCTGCTCCTCTGAGAGCATCTGGAGATGACTGCAAGCTTAGATTAGACCAATACATCATTTCTAAACTGTTTCCAAGTTCCACTAGTGATTGGTTCTAAGTCCATTTGATTGGTAGTAGTTCCCTGCAGCATTTTGGTGAAGAGGATTTTGACATTGTGTCAGATGTGCTGGGGACAGTATTTTATGAGTGACTAAGATATCCAGTCTAGGTATAGGAGAGTTGAGTAGTGGCCTGCTTGCCATCTGTCATCTCTCATGTTTAAATGTAAGCTTGTAGCTGTCTTTTTTTTCTTTTGCATTCTTTTTTTAACACCTTTATTTTTGTTTATTTATTTYTATGTGGTGTTGAGGATCAAACCYAGGGCCTTGCATGTGCTAGACGAGTACTCTACCGCTGAGCCACAACCCCAGCCCCATCTTTTGCATTCTTTATCTTCTGATCTTTCCGTATCTGCATACTACTATAAAATATGTTCTTTTTTCTTCAGTTCTCTTCCTATAAACATTTTAACATTTCCCTATTGTCTTCTATTGCTTATTTAAAATGGGAAGTTCTTCTATTTTTTTTTATAGGTTGTTCAAAACATTACATAGTTGTTGATATATCATATTTCACACTTTGGTTCAAGTGGGTTATGAACTCCCAAGTTCTTCTAAATAAATAAATTCTTTATAATATTGTTTCTGTGTCAAGAGTTTGAACACCAGTTCTTATTAAAGCCTGAATTGAAAGCCCTGTACACAGGCAGTTGAGTCCTTCCTGCCCAGAGCTCTCTGCTAAAGCCCTGTGAATGGTTTAATCATTCCCATGGTTCTTCCCTCTTAATCATCCCACACTTGGTCCCTCCCCTGACTCCACCCCCCTGCATTGTGATTCTGATAAGATGAGCATCAGTGGTCTGTGAGTAGAAAATACTGCGGAGGGGGCTGGGGATGTGGCTCAAGCGGTAGCGCGCTCGCCTGGCATGCGTGCGGCCCGGGTTCGATCCTCAGCACCACATACCAACAAAGATGTTGTGTCCGCCAATAACTAAAAAATAAATATTAAAAAAAAATTCTCTCTCTCTCTCTCCTCTCTCACTCTCTCTTTAAAAAAAAAAAAAAAAGAAAATACTGCGGAGCCTCACAGGAGGCAAGTGTGGCTCCTTCTCTGTTCTTGCAAAAATTCTTGGTTTTTCTGACATTAATAAATTATTGTCTATTGTTTTTTTCTTTCTTTAGTTTTCTATATATCTTTATAGGTTCATCTCCAGAATCCCCCTCTGTTTTCCAAACATACTCTTAGTAATTTAGCTTGCATCTTCTAGGAGAACTCTCTGAATTTCCTGCCTGTGCCCGTGCCCATGCCTGCTACATCCTGTGTCCATTGCCACCAGCATCTTGACATTACTGAATCTTTTTGAATGGAGTCTCCTTCCTTTCTTCTGGGTTTTCCATTTTCCTCTTATTTGATTGACTTCTTGTTTTGGTAAAGGATATCCTCTGATAGCTTCCTGAAGAGGGAAACAAGAAAGATTGAACTTTTTCAAGAGTGCAAAAATACTTTTAGATTATTTTCACACTTTGGTTATCAGTTTTTGAAAGCATTTCTACCTTATTTTCTAGTTTCTAGTTTATTGCTTTCTGATTTCTTATTTATATATGACTTTCTTTTTCTCTCAGGAAACTTATGGGGTCTTTGTTCCTATAATTTTGTTGGTTTTTAAATTTATAATATCACATTTTTCATTTGCAAGTGTTTTTCTTTTTTTCCTATTTTTCATGATAAAGTGTTCTAGTACTATGTTCTCACTTTGGGAAAATATTTTTTACTTTTTCAATGATATCTTACATTCTTGTCTTGTCTTTTTTTTTTTTTTTTTCCTTTGGTACTGGGGATTGAAACCAGAGGTACTCTACCACTGAGCCATATCCTAGTCCTTTTTATTTTTTATATTGGGACAGGGCCTTGCTAAGTTTCTTAGTTTAGGGCCTTGCTAGATTGCTGAGACTGGCTTTGAACTTGCTCAAAGCTCCTGAGTTGCTGGGATTGTAGGCATGTGCCACTGCACCTGGCTCTCTGTTTTCTAGAGTTTGTATAACTCTTCTTCATGTTGTACTTCTCAAGTTGGACATATGATTTTTCTTTTAATATACTAGAGATTTAACCCCAGGGTTATTTTTACCAGTGAGCTACATCCCCACTCCTTTTTTTTTTTTTTTTTGAGACAGGTCTCTCTAAGTTGCTTAGGTCTTGCTGACTTGCTGAGACTGACCTCAAACATGTGATCCTCCTGTCATGGACCTCCATGTCGCTGGGATTATTGGCATGCCCCACTGTGCTCAACTGTGATGTGATTTTTTTAAAATACATTTTTCATTTCTTTGTCTTTTTGTTTTACTTTTTGGGATGTTTTCACAACTTTATTCTCCACCAATTTTGTTGATTTTTAAATTTATAATAAAACATTTTTAATTTGCAAGTGTTTTTCTTTTGTTCTCTTTTCCTCTTTTTTTGGGGGGGATGGTTGGTAGAAATTAAAGTCAGGGCCTTATGCACCCTAGGCAAGTGCTCTACCACTGAGCTAGCGCTCAGCCCAATTTACCCACTTTTTTTTCCAACTGAGTGTATCCCAGCCCCTCAACTTTACCAACTGAGCTGTATCCCCAGCCCCTCAATTTACCCTTTTAAAGTGTCCTACAAGGAGCTGGGTTTATGGCTCATTGGTAGAGTGCTCGGCTAGCACATGTGAGGCACTGGTTTTGATCCTTGGCACCAGATAAAAATAAATAAAATAAAAGTGTTGCATCCATTTACAACCAAAAATATTTTTTAAATTAAATAAATAAATAAAGTGTCCTTCAGGTATCCTGAGTGCTGAGTGGCAGAGGCCAGCTGGGTTCTCATTATTCAGCCTTACTCCCCTCCTCCACTTTTCAGTGCAGTCCCTCCATCTTCAGCTGTTCCTCTAGTGCCCCAGTCCCAAGAGCTCTGTTTGATCCTCTCTAGGACATTAACCCTGGTCTTCCCCTAGGATGGGGTGGGTAGCTTTCTGGCATTGAGAAGTGGAAGGGGATCTGGGGTTTGCCCTCTTTATTTTATCCCCCTGCTATATTGCCACAGTAGGAGAAGGTTGTTCCTAATTCCTAAGCTTTCTGAAGATTTATTCTGTGCGAATATATTTGGTCTTCTTATGTATGACTGGCTTAGATTCAACTGTTTTGGATCTGCCAAGTCAGTAACCACATGTCCATCTGCTTTCCAGCTTCTAAAATTTTGTTTGTAATATTGCCACCTCTGTGGTTCTCTACTTCATTGTGGCTTTGAAAAAGAATTTTTAAAAAAAAGCTTTGTCAAGATAAAATTTATCTATCTTAAAATTTACATTTTGTATGTGTGTGCATATGGTACTGGGGATTGAACCATGGACCTTATGCATTCTAGGCAAGCACCTTTGCACTGAGCTACATCCCCAGCCCAGTTTATTCTTTTGATATGTACAATTCAGTGGTTTTTAGTATATTCACAGAGTTGTGCAACCATTACCATTGTCCAATTTTAGAACATATTTATAACATGCCGCCCAAAAAACCTGTATTTGATAGTAGTCATTCTACTTTCCCTTCTCCCTATCCCTCACCACTAATCTATTGTCTGTTACTGTGGGTTTTCCCATTCTTGATATTATATGGAAATAGAACCATATAATACTTAGTTCTTTATGACTTGCTTCTTTCACTTAGCATCATATCTTCAAAATTATTTTTTTTTGGTAGCATGAGTACTCCTTTTTATTGCTGAGTAAAAACTATTTCATGCATATGGCATATTTTATTTATCCATTCATCAGTTGATAAACATTTGTATCTTGTGGCTCTTGCACTTTAAAAATATGTAAGAATGGGATTTCAGGTGGCAAGCATGATGACACGCACCTTAATCACAGCTATTTGGAAGACTGATACTGGAGGATCAAGTGTTCAAGTCCATTGTGCAACACAGCAAGACCCCATTTTAAAAAATAAAATCAAGTTTAGGAAAGAATGTAACTTAATATGTATATTTAATCCTCTCTTTTTCTTCCAGAGTCCCTGTCACTGAAAATGGTTTATGAGTTCTCTCCTGCTGTCACTAGTCCTTACCCATATTGGGGCTGGGGCTGGGGCTGGGGCTGGGGTTAGGGCTAGGGCTGGGGCTTAGTCTAGAGGAAAGCAATTTCCAATTTCTTTTCCACTGAGTTAGCAGAGGTGGTAGGGCAAGTACTCTCTGGGCTTTTTTTCTCATCTATAATAAAGCTAATGAAGCAGAATGGTGATTCCTCAGATATTCTGCACAAGGACTAGGTGGTAGAGTTGTTGAAGTCCAGATGCAGGCACAAGGTTGGAAAGTGGGAAGCATAAAACAGGCATGCTACTGTGGCCTGGTATCTTAATCAAACAGAACAGAACAGGGAGGCAGTCTGCTTACAGCCAGGCCTGGGGTAGAGTCCATTTTACCTCTGTTAAGGAAGACTTCAAATAACAGTTGAAGAAATATAAATATTTTTTGTCTTAACAGTGTATTTTTTAATGATTTTACAGATTACTGCAATTTTTAAATCCTGATCCTTTGAGAGCTGATGGAATCTCTGATCTGCAGCAGGTATTACAGGCCCTAAAAACAATTAAATAGGAGAGAAAACAGTTTGCTCTTAAAAATTCTTCTCCTTCCTCTTTCCAGTCTTAAAATTAGAAGAGAAACTCCTCGGGTGGGGGACTTTGCCTGAAGATATGCTTTTATAGATTGGTAAATTAGTGCTTCAGAGAAATTTCTATTTTTATTTGGGTAATAGGTGATCTTCTTTCATTTAGGTAGTTTTGGTGTTTTTCAGGTTGTTAACATTGAAATCATATGCTTTCTTTTCTTTCTATCCTGGTACTAAGAGTTCAGGGCAGATACTGGTTGTCTAATGTCTGTATCACTCAGTTGCAGAAATTGAAGTCAGGCATGCAGCAGCCTGTCATGGTGCTCCGGAACAGGATTGATCCCTGCCTGACCATCGACACGTCACCACTGTCTGCAGACCTGAAAAAGGTGAAAGTGCTCTTAGAACCAAATTCATGAAGAAATACCAACCTTTTCTAATGTAGAAGGATTTTTTTGTTCTTTTTTTCTTTTTATTTTTTCCCAGTGCTAGGGATGGAATCCAGGGCCTGGAGCAGGCTAGGCAAARCACTCTACCACTGAGCAACACCCCTAGTCCCATAGAAGGATTTCTAAATAAAAGTTATAAGGTTACATTGTATAATTTCTTTGCTTTTGAAATTCTCTTTTATAAAGTTTTTGTTAATAATTTATTCTTAAGTCCTGGATAAGTTCTTGTAAATGAATAATTAATTTAAGGAAAACCCATTATATACTGTAAACCTCCTTCTGAAATAAGTTTTTAAATGGACCTTTGAAAAAAGGGGCTTTGAAGACATAACAGGGCAATTGTAATATACTTCTTAGCCATTCTTTCCAAAATGGCTTCATAGATGGGTGGTTTCACTTGGTAAATCGATCATTCATGCTTACCTGTTCCTTTTCTAATTTTTTTAAAAAAGAGGTTAAAACTGTTTTTTAAAAGATAGAAATAAAATCAAAAGGATGAAAGAGTGACAGAGAAGTCTTGAATGAGCAGGAGATTTTCATAGAATTTTAGAGGATGAAAGCTAGGTAGCAGAGTATGGTTGACTTCACAGGGAAAGAGCTAGGAGATGGAGAGGAGTGGACAGTGAACTACTCACCCTGTTTCCTGACAATGCACAACCAGTTTATATTATTCTAAGGAAGAAAATTGGAGACTCTTTCTGGAGAAATTGAGTGACCACAGAGTAGTGGTGCTTAATGATGGTGTTTGGAATTCTCCCAGTTAGAATGCCTGCTTGTTGCCCAGTCGTCTTGTAGTGATGTCTCACTCTCATGGTGACTAGATTTGCCCCACCCACAGAGCCTTTAGTCAGGTTTTAGTGACTTAAAAAAACACAAAACTAGTTTTTTTCATATATATATATATATATATATATATATATATATATATGAGAAACTATATAATGAGAATCATAGACCTTTTTTCTCTCTCTCTCTCACACACACACACACATGAAACACAGACATCTGAAGAAAGTCTTTACCTTAAGAAAAAAAGTTTAAAACAAACTCTGAAGGAAATAATGACTGGAGAAGAAAATATTAGAAAATAAATATTGCCAAGTGCAGAGTACATGCCTGTGGTCACAGCTTCTCAGGAGGCTGAGGCAGGAGGATTGCTTCAGCCTTGGAGTTTGAGACCAGTCTGGGCAATATAGTGCGACTCATCTCTTAAAAAAAAGAAAGGAATGGGGGAGAGAAAGAGAAAGGGAGAGGGAAAAGAAAAAAAAAGGAAGGAAGAAATAAAAGAAAAATATCCTCAGAGGAAAGAMGGTATGGCATCTTTTGCTGGAAAGAGGAGGGAGGAGAAGGGGAGAGAAAGATCAATAAAAAAGGTTCTCAGAAGTTCAAAATATTATTAAAAATTTGGAAAATAAGTGGTTTTGAGATATAAAATAGAAGCCAGCAGAAAGTAGAACAAAAAGGCAACAAGATGAATCAAGGAGGAAAAAAAAAAGAATTTGAGGTGCAGTATCTGAAAATGGAATTTCAGACTGAATCATATAAGACAGACTACACGGGTTGCACTGCCTACCTGGAAGCTCCATGTTGACATCAGAGACTATTCCATTTGGAGTTCAGGGATCTGGGGAGGAGGATGTCACAGACACCGTGGTGCTGACAAGCTCAGCTTTTTGGAAAGAGTTACAGGAGGGGCAGAAAAATCTCTGAGGAAGAACACAGGAACATTTCCTGAACCTAATGGAAATAAATCTCCACATTGAGCTATYGCACACTGGCCAGCACAACTTATGAACAGTCATTAGCTGTATGGGTTTGAAGCATCTGAACTTGGATTCAGAGAGCACAAAATCTTCTAGTGGAAAAAAGGGTCCCCATCTCAGGACCATAAGTCAGGTACCTCAGATTTCTTCATAGCAACACCAAAGGAGTTACTTCATGTAGACAATAATTGTCTTTTTGGAATAAAATCATTTTTGAAGCACATATGGAATATTGCCAAGCTTAAGCCTAGATTCATTGAGAAGATTTCAGTATTTTTATGGCAATTTTTCACGTAAGAAACTAAAAACATTGATGTTGATTAGAGGTGAAAAAAAAAGTTATTTCCACCTATACATCCATACTCACATAGTAATGAGGTGTGAGAGTAGAACAAAAATATTTTCAGACATGCAGTCTCAAAAATAACAAAGAAGTATTTCCCCTGTACTCTTTGCCAAGAAGCTGTTTCAAAATGTTCATACAACAAAGAAGTTCACCAAGAAAGACCACATGGGTTGCACCTGTCTACCTGGAAGCTCTCAGGTTGGCGGAAGAGTAAGCAGTACTTTTGCATCTGGGACTCAGGGTTCTGGGGAGGGGGATCACAGAGCCCATGGTGCTCTTGAACTCAGTCTTTTAGAAAATTATATCAGTGTGGCTAGAGAACTCTGTTGGAGAATTTGGTTTAGTGAGAGATACATAGATAAACAAATGAATAAAAGCATGTTTTAAAAATGCTGTACAAGGGAGGCTGGTGGACTGGCAGATTATTGGGAGAATAAGATCAAAAAACCACATCCTTGATCCAGTGAGCTCTAGTGGATCACCATCCAGTTCCTTTTGATTGGAGCCCAGGAAAACAAAATTTTATATAATAGGAATATAGTACTGAATAAAAGAGTCAGAGGGACTTACCAGGGTAAGTCTCAGAAAATATCAGATTAATCAATGTGTATATACTGAGTGGTATATGGAGTAGAGTGGCAATGATATGGAGCTGTTGTTTGTTTTCTCTACTTTATTGTGGTTTTTGGTTGTTGATTTTTTTGTAGGCTCTTCAAAGAAATAAGTTCCTGGGACCCAGTCACACTGAATCTTACTCTTGGCCTCCCATAGCACGTGGCTGTGATGTGGTTGTCATTTCTCACTGTGGAAATGACCCTTTGTTGTACCTCCCACCGTTGCTTACGATTTTGCAAACGGGGGGCTGCTACAAGTCATTACCAAGTAGAAACGGAGTAAGTTTAAGACAATTTTGTTTCACAACAAAAATGAATTAAATTTTTATTTTTTTAATTATACACTTGACYTTTGGTAAAGTTCAGGTTACATTACTCAGTTTGGTTTTCCAACTGCCAAGGTAGAAGAAAGTGAGAAAGTAGCCTTTCTCATCTCCTGGTCACCTGTTCTCCTGTACTGATTCTCATCCAAGCCTGGGTTGTGGGTCATGGGCTGAGCAGGAAAGCCCTGGCTTTTAGAGATGAACATAGAATTTATAAAATGATCTCATATTAATTCATGTCATTGTCATGGCAACCATGTGATGTGGTCAGGGTGTATATCATTCTCACCACTGTATACATGAGAAGACCCAGGTCATGATAAGTTGCTTGGGTGAATTCTTGACAGCTGATATGGGTGTGAAAGTGGGCTTAGAAGTTAAGTTTCTATTGTCTCATTCTACATTCTTCAATATCTCATAGTACCCCACACTGTTTTAGAATAATTTCCCCATGTGTAAGAACCTGAAAGTAACAGAAATATGGAGAGAAGAGAAATGGGTATGGGTTCAAATGGCAATGAATAGTGATGTCCACTTTTCTGGGTTTGGGCTCTTGGAACTGATGGGTGTAAAACCTCCATCCTAAGCACTCCAGAGGGTTCCACCATGTGTTAAACGGTGAAACAGCAGTACAAAATGAGCTTAAGAGTTGCAGTTAGAACAGATACTAGCTCTCTTTCTAATTATGCCATGCAGTTTGATGATTTCCCTTTGGAATTCAAGCTGGTTATCAGATATTGATTTAATCAAATGAATGCATTTATCCCCCTCATCCCTCACCAGTTTGTTAACAGCTAAGTCCTGTTAATGATATACAGCTAGTGTTGAGGCAGAACCATGGCTGAGGTTAGAAAAGGCCATCTTGACCCTTGTGTCTCCCCTACTTTCTCCATGCCCCTATGGTCAACCTGCCTTCAGGTCTGTGCCTGGAAACTATCATCTGAATCTGTCTAAAGGAAAGAGGAAACTAGGCTTCTCTTCCATTAATAGATAGCAAGTGTCCAGGAAGGTATTTGGTAGGCAGTGCACCTTCAAGAGAATCTGTGGGCTAGTGGAGGGTAGGGTTCAGAAGGTAATTTCCTAAGAAAGAGCTGTTATCCACTTTTTAAGCCCCCTCTCAGGAAGTGGTTAGTTCATCCTTGGGCTTAGGAGCAGGAAATCTGGAGCCAGACTTCCTAGGTTCAAATCATGTTGCTACCAAGAATGAACTGTGTAGCCTTAGGCAACTGGCTTTACTTCTCTGTGCCTCAGATGCCTCATCTGTGAGATGAAGTAATAGTAGGCCCTACCCATAAGAATGTATTAAATTAATTAATACTTATGCAATACTTAGCTTAAGCCCTAAGAAAATCTAGCTCAATGTGTCTAAAATCTGTTTTTTTAAATATTTTTTAGATGTCAATGGATCTTTATTTATTTATATGCAGTGCTGAGAATTGAACCCAGTGCCTCACACATGCTAGGCAAGTGCTCTACTACTGAGCCATCACCCCAGTCCCCTAAATCTATTTTAATGAAATTATTTTTAACTCTTCTAACCTATGTGATGATGGTGGTAGCAAAACCTGAAGTAGCACGTGTTGTGTACAAGGAGATGTTCTGGATGTTTCACATATACTGTGTTCAATTTCTAACTACTGTTCAAAACTATTTGAATTTGTTTGTCTTTGCAGCCTCTTGCAGTCATCGTGTGCCCAGGGTGGAAAAAGGCCCAATTTATTTTTGAATTACTGGGCGACTATAGCATGTCCTCCAGGCCTCTTCATCCTGTGTTATTAACAATTGGACTTCACAAAGATGAAGCCAAAAACATGAAGCTTCCAAGGGGGTGTAAGCATTCTTTCTAAGCAGTTTGGCTTTCCCCATAGAAGACAGGGGACCCTGCCCAGGCAGGTCTGGGATTGCAGATGACAGGCTTGTGTGATAGCCTAGCTTGTCACTCATTGATGGGTATCCATGATGTAGGTTCAATCTTGACCTACATCTGTTTTGCTGAGAAAACTACAGGATTTCATTCATCCACTTTCTACTGACCACTTACTTCTTGCTAGATGCTGAACACAGTGTTGACTAAAAGCCTCCTGCTTTTCAGGAGTGCAGAACCTGGTAGGAGTCCCAAGGCTTGTCCCATACTGACAGGGCTCAGCCAGGGTGGGCACCTGAGGAGAGAAGCAGCAGTATGTGGAATCTTAGCAAAGGAAATGTTGTGAAAACCTGTGAAACAAATCTAAAATGGGCATTGTTTTTTCTTTTAAAATGTAGGCGATGTGATTGTCACAACACCACATAGCCTCCTGAGACTTCTCACATACCAAAGCTTGTTATTTCTTAGACTTTGTCATCTAGTGTTGGATGAGGTGGAAGTGTTATTCCTTGAAGCTAATGAGCAGGTAAGTATGGCATCTATTTAGATGTTATTACTATTCTAAATGTATACATATACTTCTAAAATAGATAAAATTCAAGTATTAACAGAATCAAGAAAAAGGATCTAGTTAAGGAATAAATTGGTTAATCTAAAAAATTTTTTTTCCTTTAACTTCTATAATTTAGAAGAGAGAATGTTTATTTGAAATTTCATTCCCAGTGTTAAATCTCTCTTTGAAAAGCAACATTTCTCTCCCAGGAAGATTTACTGAGATAATGAATGTTTTTCTAATTATAAAAGCAATAATTTTTATTGTAAAAATTTTTGAGAAATAGAGGAAGAGAACTTGAAAAAAATACAATACCCTAATCATCTTACACTCAAAGGCAATCATTCTACTATCTTGGATTATTTCTTCCTTTTTAAAATTCCTAATTGTTGATACATGTATTCAATATCAAGAGCACATTTTATGTATAATTTTAAAATTCACATTTTGTAGTTAACAGCATTGTATTATTACTTCCTGTTCTAAAGGTTATTATTATTATTGGGCATATTGAATCACATGGGCATAACAATTTATGCCGTGTTTGCTGTCCTCCGACCAGTAGGAGGCCTTGGCCTGGTTTTTTGTTCTGTGCTAGCTGGTAAACAGATCTTGTTAGTACAGTGTGCATCTTTTTTTTTTTTTTTTTTTTTTTTTTTTTTTTGCAGTGCTAGGCATGGAACCAGGGCTTCATGCATGCTGGGCCAGTG